CGGGGGGTCTGCTTCTCCCTCTGTCCTCTTCCCTCTTGTGCTCTCTGTCTCTCATTCTCTCTCTCTCAAATAAATAAATAAAATCTTGAAAAAAAAAAACGCTTTTTCTTTACAGAGGGTTGAAATAAAAATTCATGTTTGTTACCAAAAAAAAAAAATTTTCAAACAAAAAAAATTTGCACAACGCAGACGAAAGTGTTTAAAGTCCCCTCCACTTCCTCTCTTCTGAGATAAGCTCCATTAATAGTCTGTGGTAAATCCTTCCTGAACTTGGTCTAAAACTATACAACCCGTATACATCTACCCATTTTTAAATGTGTTTTTAAAACGTGTTCTCACCAAACTTTTGTTTCATCCCTTGCTTTTCGCTCCATAACAGCATGACAGAGCCAGGTTTCCGTGTCAGGACATTATATTGTCATTCTTTTTAACACCTTTGCCACTGACAAGCTGGGGGACCGTGTACAGGTTGTTTAGCCTCTCTGACTCTTGGGTGTGCTTCATCTCTGAATGGGGACAAAAATGTCATTGCCACACAGGACTGTCACGAAGATTAAAAGAGCTCAGGGGCACCTGGGTGGCTCAGTCGGTTAAGTGACTGCCTTCGGCTCAGGTCATGATCCTGGAGTCCCGGGATCGAGTTCCTCATCGGGCTCCCTGCTCAGCGGGGGGTCTGCTTCTCCCTTGACCCTCCTCCCTCTCACGCTCTCTGTCTCTCATTCTCTGTCTCGCAAATAAATAAATAAAATCTTTAAAAAAAAAAAAAGAGCTCATACATATAAGGCCCCTTGTACAGTGTCTGACGAATACGAAGTTCTCAAAAAATATTAGCTCTTGTTGTTCATAGCTCCATGCTTAGCTGCATGATAATTTATCTCACCAGGTCTGGGCATACGATCACTTCGTGCGGTATGTTTGCAAACTCGGCCACAGCAATTCCAGCTTTCCCAGTACACGTGACTCTTTGCAGCATGACTTTGGTGTTTTTCACATTGAGAGATGGAGTCTATTTCTACTCTCCTTGAATCTGAGCTGGCCATGGGACAGGCTTTGCTCAATAAAATGCAATGAGAGTGATGCTCTAGCACTTCTGAGCCTAGGCCTCAAGAGGCCTTGCTGCTTTTGTTCTTTGCCTTTTGGAGGCCATCATGTGAGGAAGCCTGGGCTAGCTGCTGAAGAAGCCACGTGAAAGAGAACCAAGGCACTCAAGCCCACGGGCCTGGGCAGCCGGCAGTCACGTAAATGAGGCTATACAGGGCCAGTCAGCTCACCAATGTGCTCACTGACTGCAGATGTGGGAGTAAGACCATGCACAGCAGAAGAGAACTGCCCTAGCTGAGACATGTCCATACTGCCAATCTACACCAGCAGAAGCAAATAAATAATTGTTGGTTTAAGCCACTCTGTGTTTGGGGTGCTTTGTTAAGCAGCAGTAGAAAGCTGATACATTTAGGTTTGGTGCAGAGAGGATGACCCAGGTTGGAATGCAAGGTCTGTCACTGCATGTGACCTTGGTCATGTCTCGTAATCTCTCTTGGCCTCGATTTCCTCATCTGTGCAATGGGATACTTTTAGTCCCTACCTCATCAGGCTGATGGGAGGGTTAAATGAGATGATGAACAGTCACCGTGAGGCACAGAGCAACTGCTACGACTCTTAACTGTGATTATTGCTGTTGTTGTTCGAAGGCAGTCTCGACTGAGAGTTGTAATGTGGGGTGTCAGGAAGAATAAGTGATAAAGATAACTGAGCTGGTCTTTTGGAGCCTCCATAACTGGGTGAACATTGGAGAATGGGAGCTTCTTGGGACAAGAGACCTATACCAGGCTGGCCAGGGAGATGGCAGGGGTTAGGGCTCGTTCCTGTCCTGCTTAGTGTGAAGGATTGTATGTTGTGTGCCTGGGTGAGCTCTCCGAAGATGGACGCTGAAACTGGGTGGAAGAATGAAGAACTGACACCGTAGGAGGGGCCGAGACCATAGGAAGGTGTGAAAGCTAAACCTTGGGCAATATCCCCACTCTTCTCACGTGAATCCCAGACTCCTTACCATGGCCTGAATACCCTGCCCACCTCTCCCACCAGATTCTCTACCCTCTCTCCCTCACTCACAGTGCTTCAGCCACCCTGGCCTCCTTCCTCAAACTTACCCAACTCTTTCCTGCTTCAGGACCTTTGTACTCACTGCTCCCTTCTCAGAGGGAATTTCCAAACCACTCAAGCTGAAGTGCTCCCCCTTTTAGTCTTTTCCATAACTACTTATCTTTTTCCTTCATAGCATTTTTTGCTACCTGAAACTATGTTGTTTATTTATTTGTTTACCCACGTATTATTTGTTTCTCACTTTAGAAAGTGAGTTCCATGAGGAATTGGTGTTGGTCTTGCTCATACCCCAACCCCAGCACTTAGCACTGTGTCCGGCTCATAGCAAGTGATTAATAGCTGTGAACTGAATAAATGTGAACAAAGGATCCATGACAGCTGGCTCAACAAACAAACAAGATCCAAGATCCAAGTGGATCCAAGAGCCAAGTGGAAGGCCAGTCATTTCCTTAAAAAGGTCTTCATGAAAACCTTGGGATCATCTCCTCAGCCCACAGGTGGGGAAACAGGCCCGGAGAAGAGAGTTACCCACCTTCGAGCACCCAGAAAGCCATTATTGTAGATTCCCAGCCCCTGGGGTCAAATGCTGCAGACCTGTCTGGCAGATAAGCCCAGGAAAATCACAGCCACCTCCTTGCGGTCATTGCCGTGTGTCTGCAGTTGCCGCCGCCCCCATCGTATAGGGAAGGAAATTGCCCCTTTGGGAGCAGAGGTGCCAGTAAGCTGACAAACTGTGAAAGGGGGGCTGGAGAGGGTGGGAAGGCCCATTCCTGGGCCAGGCAGCTATTCTGAGGCAGCTCAGGGATAATAGCTGGTACCAAAATAACCCAACCTCCTCACCCTTGTTCCAGCCCTCACACCTCTGCCCCACTAGAGGTGACGCTAACACTTGAATTCCTCTCGGTAACACACCAGTTTTTAGCAGGGCCTGCGGAGAGGACAGTGATCACACACACCTGTCCACTGGGGGCTCACAGTCTGACGGAGGAGGCAGGCTAGGGACCAGTCAAGGCTGCTGAATGATGGTGCCTACGTCTGGGGAAGCTCAAGGGAGGGTAGATCCCCAGAAGAAAGGACCCCTGAATTAATTCAATGGACATACGAAGTTAGCCAGTTCAGGGGGTGACAGTAACAGAAGTAACCGCCAGCGCAAAGGGAGGGCGGCAACACAGATAAGCTCCAGGAATAGTTGGCAGTTTTAGTAGGTAGAAGCATCAGAAATATGAGAGGGGAGGGGCACAATAGGAGCCTAGAAAGGGGGGTGAGTGGGCTGTCCAATTTATCTAAGAATTTAGATGTCAAGAGAAGAACTTAGGCTATCTTCGGTGCACAAAGGAGAGCCATGGAAGATTTTTATCCATAAGGACGCCACGATCAGGTTGGCAAGATATAAAGTGCCCTGTGGCTGCTTTGGGGAGGTTGTCTGGGCCAGGGGAGGGGGAGGAGGGGCAGACCGAAGGAAGAAAACACTTTATTCTAGATGGGCAGTTCTAAACAGGACTCCTGTAGGAGACAGGAATTGAGTCTCAGTCTCTCCAGGGCTTGGATCATTACTCCCTCAACTCCCGCGCCACACCACCCCGAGGGTTCAACTTTCGTTCTTTTGTTGCGAACTCAAAAGTTTGAGCAGAACAAATGTGCTGCTGGAACCCTAACCCTAGTCGAGGGGTCCGAGCAAGAGACTCCATCTCCCAAAATGCTTCGCTTTACAGCCCTGCGGGTCGCGCATGCTTCAAGAAAGGCCGGCCGGCTTGTCCACCGGTCAGCTGGGTGAAGTGCAGGAAACATGGGGACCGCCATCTTAGCTTGGGGCAAACCAATTGTAAACCTATGGGAGGTTCTTCTTCTCTGCCTCGTCAGTTCTTAACAGGTACTAAAATAAAATGCTCTTAATTATTGCAAATCTCTTTATTATGCTTTACATTGAGAATTTCTTCCATTTTGCCCCCCAATTCGGAACTGCACCTGCAGGGATACAATAGCACATCCCAGCATGGCCGCACCCAGCCAGATTCCGCTGGGGGTGGAATCGGAAGCGGTCCCGCCCCGCCTCCTGGTAGGAAGGGGGTTTCCGCTTCCGGCAGCGGCGGCTGCAGCCTCGCTCTCGTCCCTGCGGCTGGCGGCGGAGCCGTGTGTCTCCTCCTCCGCCGCCGCCATATTGTCTGTGTGAGGAGAGGGGAGAGCGGCCGCTGCTGCCGCTTCCACCACAGGTACGGTGGGAGCCGCCAGGCGAGGTCGTTGGGTGTGGAGGTGGGCCCAGGATGGGACAACGGGGCGCGGTCTCCCCTCGCGCTCCCAGCGGACTCCGGAGCGGCCCGTCGCCTTCCCCTGCCCCCCCCCCCACACACACACCAGCCGAGGCCCCTGCAGCCCATCGGGGAGGCCTGGGGCCACCCTTCAGGACGGGGAGTGAGGCTTCGTGGGCAGAGGCTGATGTGAGGGTGGGAACTGGCTTTCGGGAGTCCGGCTTATTGCGGGGGAGAGGGCTGGACTGGGGCGGGGACTAGGGGGCAACTTGGAGGAAGGGGTCGCCGGAGGGGGAAGGGAGCTTGAGGGGTGGGGCCACTAGGGGATGCTGGGGGAGGGTGCCTAGGGGAGTGGTGCCTGCTGGGTAGGGTGGGGTGAACCTTCCCGCGGAGCGGAGCAGATGGGAGTGGGGGCTTTCTAAGGGTTCCTCTGGGCCAGGCGGGCTTCCCACCTGCAGGCTGGGGTGCAAGGGAGAGGGAGCCCCGGGCGAGGTCGCTGGGGAGAAAGGGGGAGGGGACCACGAAGTGGGGCAGAATGGGTGGAGTTGGAGTTAAGGGTTAGTTGGGAGCCTGGGTGGAAGGGAAGTATGTAGAATGAAAGCTTGGCCAACAGTATACGTGTTAAGTTTGTGACCTTTTGAAAGAGTACGACTTTTATTTTGGTTTCTGTTTTTTTTGTTGTTTGTTATTTTGTAGCGTTGGAACATTTCTAGTCTAGGCAGGTGATGGGTGGAGCTTCAGTAGTTTGTTTTTTGGAAAGCAAAGTCAGGGTCGGAAGAAGTAGCTTCTTGACTGTTGCCATTGTGGGAAAGGAAGAGTTTGAAAAGAAGGTGGTAAATTAATTTGGGAAATTTGATTACCTTTCAGCTGCTGAGTTCTATGAGAAGGGGGCATGGGGAGAGGACATGAAAAGAAAACTGGAAAGGGAAGATTTTTCTCGGAGTTGGGAGACTGCATTACATCTAAGGAGTGGCAATACAGGCTAGTGGTAAAGAACCAGAGTGCTTGGGTTCTCAAATATCATGCCATTACTACTTAGCTGTGTGTCCTAATCTTTGTAAACCTTGGTCTTCCTATCTGTAGAGTGGGGGCAGTATTTCCTAGATCATGCAATATGGTGAGCAGTAAATAAGATAATTTGTGTCAAGTGCTTACCGCAGTGCCTGACAGGTAGTAAGTGCTTGATTAAAGGGACTAGGTGGTTTATTTCGGCTTCCTCTGTCCTGCGTAGAATTTGTGGTCAAGAATCTAACAGGCAAGACTGAAGAATATTACCTTTGTAGTAATTGTTGCAGTTTCTTGTTTTGTTGTAAGTCAGTTGACTTAATTGGCTTGGTGGACCTTTGACTGAAAGACCAGAACCAGTAACTTGATCTTCCTCAAGTCATTTTAAAAACTTCACCTGCTGTTTTATCTGGGCAGGTTTATCCTTGTGTGACTTTGAAATACTTGACTTTCATGTGCCATTGGGGGAGGGTACATGACTTCAAGAAAGAATGAAAAGATTTGAAATTTGCTTAGATTGATTTATCAACTGCTTACAAAGTTAGGTCACCCTGGGGCAACTTTTGTTTAAAAAAAAAAAGAAAAACAAACATGCCCAGTTATGTTCTCTTGTATGGAATAAAATAGAGAAGAGAAGCACACATTTAAGGGGAACATTGGGTTACTTCTATGTAATGGGTTTATTGCCTTGCTGTTTGGGGATAAAACAAGTGGCAGCTTCTTTCCCACAGTGTATTTTTAGTTCTCTTGTTGCCTAGCCGCTGTTACAGGGTGAGTCTTTGATTTTACTCTGAACAGACACCTTTACTTCACATACTCCTTTGGACAAAGGGGAAATTTTCTTCAGGAACTGAGTTTAAAGCCCTACATAGGGTTTGGGTTTGTAGTCGACAGAATGCCACCCCTGCCAAAAAAGATGTCTATACTTTAATTCCCAGAATCTGTAAATATGTTACATGGTAAAAGGCACTTTACAGATCTTATTAGGGTTAAGAATCTTAAAATAGGAAGACTATTTTGCATTTCGTGGGTAGGCCCAACCTAATCACACGTGCCCTTAAAAGCAGAGAGCTTTTTCCACTTTGGAGTCAAGAGAGGGGAGAAGGGTGAAATCAGAGATTCCAATCATGAGAGGGACTCCATTTGCTGTTGCTAGAGGGGGCCACATAGAAAGCATGAGAAGGAATACGGGCAGCCTCTAGTAGCAGAGACCAGCCCCAGCTGACAACCAGCAAGGAAATGGAGACCTCAGTCCTACAACCCCAAGAAACTGAGTGAGTTTGACCAACAACCTGAATGAGCTTGGAAGTGGAATCTTCCCCAGAGTTTCCAGCAAGGAATATTCCTTGATTTTGGCCTTGTGAGACCCTAAGCAGAAAACATAGCCACACCCACCAGCTTCTGACCCACAGAAACTGTGAGATAATGAATTTCTATTGTTTTAAGCCACTCCTGTTTGTTTTAATTTGTTATGGCAGCAGTAAAACACTAGTATAGATTTTTGGTACCTGGAGTGGGATACTGTTACCCAAAAACGTGGACGTGGATGAAAGCCAGAAAATATTTGAGGAGTCTGATAGAAAAGGCCTGGAACAGATTATAGAAATAGGGATGTTGACTGCAAGTTAGGGCCAGGTGGCAATGACATAGGCACTGGAAACTGGAGGAAAAAGAATCTTTGTTACATAGTGGCAAATAAGCTTAGAATTGTATCCTGTGGTTATGTGGAAGAGAGAACTGGTAAGTGATGAACCTGGCTATCCAGCAGAGGAGATTTCCAAGCAGAGGGTTGAAGGTGCAGTCTGGTGTATTTATGGATATGAATCTGACTAATGGAGTGAACCCCTGTGAAATTTGTGGAAAGTCCATGAGGTCCTTGAGGATTTTATACTGTCAGAAACAATGCCAGCTTGGATTGAAAAAGACAGTAGAAAGTTAAAGAGGGCTATTAAAACCCCCAAATTCTAGGCAGGAAACAGGCTGGTAAAACTCAGGTGTGAGTTTGCTGCTTTTCATTAAAAAAGGTGGGTGACTCAGAGGGTGGAACCAAGAGCACAGAGAGGTGGACCTGAAAGCTACAGAGGATTTTGCCCTTACTTTGAAATGGAACAGAGTTTGCCCAGATTTTGAAACTGCTTTGGACCAATGGATCTGTTTTCTCTTCCATTTTTCTTGTTGGAACTGGAATGTCTTTAACTGCTGCCCTGTGCCTGTACCACCATTGTCTGTTGGGAGCAGATAACTTTTGTTTTCAGGAATTGTGCCCCATGAGTTTTACTTACTGTATTATGCTCAGAGCCTCATCTACACCTGATTTAGAAAATGAGATTAGGGACTTTTTAATTGATGAGCTTTAGGTGAGATTTTTGGACTTTGAGTTGATGCTATAATGGAATGAGACCTTAGGATGTGGGATGGATGTATTTTGCATTTGGGAGAGATATGAATCTCTGGAGGTCAGACGGTGGGCTGTGGTAGATGAAATGATACCCTGCCCCACCCAGCCCTGGAATCTAAATATTAACATTATGTGGCAAAAGGGACTTTGCAAATGTAATTATGGTTTAAGTATTTTAAGATAGGAAGATTATCCTGGATTTTCTGAGTGGGTCCAATCTAACATGAAGGCAGAGAACGTTCTCCAGCTGGAGTCAGAGAGATGGGCAGAACAAGTCAGAGATTTGAAACATGAGAGGCAGTCAACCTGACATTACTGGAGGGGGCTTCATGGAAAGCATGTGGGCAGCCCTGCCTGACAGCCAGCAAGGAAATGGAGGCATCAGTCATAGAACCCAAGAAACTAAACTTGGCCAACAATCTAAATGAGCCTGGAAGCAGATTTCTCCCTGGAGTTTCCAACAAGGAAGAGAGCAGCGTGGACATCTTGATTTTTGGTCTTGCAGGACCCTAAGCAGAAGACCCAGCCAAGCCCACCTGACTTCTGGCCTATAGAAACTGTGAGATAATAAGTTTGTGTTGTTTTATATTTGTGGTAATTTGTTATAGCAACAATAGAAAACTAATAGAGGGGGTTTTGGTGATTTTATTTAAGAATCTTGGGGAGATTATTTTCTAGAGAACAAAAGTAGCAAGGATTATTTTGCAAAGTGATTTGGTCCTAGAAGACTTCACAGAGTAATTGTGTTGAGTGGAATCTATGCCTTTTTTCCTTGGTGTTTAAATATCCTGTTACTGTCCTTAAGTGCAGTTTGAATTGGCTAGATGACTAGCTTGGTAAAATGTAGATTCTAGAGTTCTAAACCATTTTGGTAGGATTTATCCTATAAATAGGTGATTTTCCCATACCTATAATAAATGTCTTGGATTAATGACATAATTTCTTTACTTTTTTTTAAGATTTTATTTATTTATTTGACAGAGAGAGAATGAGAGAGAGAGCACATGAGAGGGGGGAGGGTCAGAGGGAGAAGCAGACTCCCTGCTGATCAGGGAGCCCGATGTGGGACTCGATGTGGGACTCGATGTGGGACTCGATGTGGGACTCGATCCAGGGACTCCAGGATCATGACCTGAGCTGAAGGCAGTCGCTTAACCAACTGAGCCACCCAGGCACCCCTTTCTTCATTACTTTTTATTGGTTGAATGAAGCAGTGAGTTTATATGAGAGCCCTTTAAAGACTTATTTCCAACTTTTTATTTATTTATTTTTAAAGATTTTATTTATTTATTTGACAGAGAGAGACACAGCGACAGAGGGAATACAAGCAGGGGGAATGGGAGAGGGAGAAGCAGGTTTCCCGCGGAGCAGGGAGCCTGATGCGGGGCTTGATCCCAGGACTCTGGGATCATGACCTGAGCCGAATGCAGACGCTTAACGACTGAGCCACCCAGGCACCCCTATTTCCAACTTTTTAGAGGAGATGGAAATGGGTGATCTTTTTTTGTGAATTGATAACCACCTCTGTACAGTATAGTCTGTTCTTTTTACAGCTCCTACC